AAATGCCCAGGAGTGCAAGTATTGGGTCATATGATAAGTATATGCTTAAGTTTTTGAAGAAACTACCAAATTATTTTCCAGGATGGTTGTACCATTTTATATTCCCATCAGCAATGTATGAGCATTCATTTCTCCACATCCTTACCAGCATTTGGTGTTGACACTATTTTATTTTAGCCATTCTGATAGGTGTGTAGTGTCTTACTGTGATCTTAATTTGCAATTCCCAGATGGTCAGTGATGCTGAGCAAATTCCATGTGTTAGTTATTTATCTTCTTTGGTGAAATATTTTTTCATCTCTGTTGTCCATTTTGTATTGGATTATCTTTTTGCTGTTTAGTTTTGAGACTTCCTTATGCATTCTATAAGTTGTCAGATACGTGGTTTGCAAATATTTTCTCCCAGGCTTGTCTCTTCATCTTCTTTATCAGATCTTTTGTAGAGCAAAAGTTTTACATTTTGATGAAGTCCAGTTTATCGTTTTTTTCTTTTATGGATCATGCTTTTGGTGTAAAGTCTAAACATTCTTTGCTTAGCCTACATCTTAGAAGACTTTATGTTCTTTTCTTTCTTTCTTTTTTTTTTTTGAGATGGAGTCTTGCTGTCTCCCAGGCTGGAGTGCAGTGGCGTGATCTCGGCTCACTGCAAGCTCCACCCCCCGGGTTCACGCCATTCTCCTGCCTCAGCCTCCCGAGTAGCTGGGACTACAGGCGCCCGCCACCACGCCCGGCTAATTTTTTGTATTTTTAGTAGAGATGGGGTTTCACCGTTTTAGCCAGGATGGTCTTGATCTCCTGACCTCGTGATCCGCCTGCCTTGGCCTCCCAAAGTGCTGGGATTACAGGTACGAGCCACTGCGCCTGGCCGACTTTATGTTCTTTCTAAAAGTTTCATATTTTACATTGAAATCTATGATCAATTTTAAGTTTTATATATAAAGTATGAGTTTTAAGTAGAGGTTCTTAAGTTTTGCCTGCCTTATATCATACCAATTGTTCTGGTGCCATTTATTGAAAATACTTTCTCCTTTTGCACCTTTGCTAAAACCAGTTGACAATATTAGTGTGAGGCTATTTCTGGTTCTCTGTTCTATTCTATTGATCCATGTGTTTATCCATCCACCAGTATTGCACTGTCTTGAAAGAGGGTACCATGGTTCCTCTCATTTTAGTTTTCTTTTTCAAAATTGTTTTAGCTACTCTAGTTCTTCTGCCTTTCCATATACATTTTAGAATTAGCCATAGCCACAAAAAACATCACTGGGATTTGGCACAAATTGCTGCCCAGCAATTGAACTAAGTCCAGCCATTCTGGTATCAGCTAGTGGCTGTGCCATGGCAGTTAAGTTGGGCACAAAATTTCCCCCAAAGGCACAGCTATAATTTTTCAAGTAAAGTTGAGATACTGCTAGGGCCAGGCTACTGCCCTCTCAAATATATCATTTCTATGTGACTAGCAAGGCCTGTTGAAGCCTTTCCATCTGGTTAATCCTCCAATTAAGAGTTGACCCACCCTAAAGTCTAGATGTCACACCAGGAAGTCCCAAGGTTTCCATGGGTTAGGTATTCAGTTTTGAGAGCTGCACATTAATAGCTGCCTGTTTTTCAAAGTGGATGCTGTTTGGTGGTTGGGTCAGGTAGGTGGCCACACTGGGTTGGAAAAGCCCTGAGTGCTCTGACTGCCATTAAGTCAGTCAGCAATTTCCCTTTCTCCTCCTGGGATTCTGTATTGTGTCGGGAGGACCACCTAGGAGGGGTCAGAGACATGTTAGGGAGCAATTTACACAGCCCATTATTACCTCTGTACATGTGGGAGCCCTCAAAAGGGAGAATCCCACTGACAATCATCAGACAGGTAAGTGTGGGCATACAACACATCAATTCCATTGTACATTTAGATTTAGAAACCACTTTACATTGAATCACCCCAAAGGCCTCACCCACAAAGCTTCCCTTCCTTACCACAGAACATGTTAAAAAGCCTTTTCCATCACAGGAACACAGACCACAGACCAACAAGTTGAAAATGTGTGCAAGTCAGGGGCTACACGTGGCAAATGAGTGCCAGGTCACATTATCCCCCAGCCAGGAGGGTTGCAGAAGAGGCTGTCCGTGGGCAACAAACTTAATTTTCAGCCTTTTTTCTCCTTTAGCCTCTTGCTCCAGGATCAGTGCCGAAACACCGACAACTACCTCTCCTGTGGCAGTGGTGAGCCCCTACAACATCCAGAAAGAACTGGGGCCCTGGGCTTCTATTTTCTCCCATGCATACCACCACATTTTACCCTGAAGTCTTCGGCACCTTCTGTCACTCCTGCACCCAGCATCTTGCCCTCATTACTGGCTGAATCGGCTGTGGTCTGCTCTGCACTTTTAGGCATGGCATTTCATTCACTTTGGCATTTCAGCAGTGTTGCAACTGCTTGCAGCTCAACCAGATAACCTCCTGTTTTCAGTCTACCCAAGGCTCTCAATCGAACAGCAAGGTTCTTATTGATAACACCATTTATTTTACGTTTTGGGACTTGACTCAGCCACAGGAGTTGTTGACTCCTCATCTTGAAAACATCCCTTCCTCTGCCTGCCTGCAGGAGTAACAAAGCACCATTTGCACTGTTTGTTTCAATCCTACCTCTTGTTGCTAAGCCTCTAAACACTGCCTCCTGTTCATGAATAGATAGGACAGCGGGAACCCTTAATCTCCACCAACCTTCACCCTATATCCATCATTAGGGTTAGAGCATTCACTACCAGATCTCAGGGAGTCTTGCATTCCAGAACCTGGCCCATGGTTCCTTTTTCAGAGTATCATGTCTTTGTCAGCATCCCATCCTTGTTGCCAAAACTCTCAGTTTCAGGATTTCACTTTACCCTACTGACAAACGAGTAAGTTAGCCTGTTACAATCTCAAGAATGCTGACAGAAGACATGAGACTCTTGGGTTAGAGGCAAAGGACTTTATCACTCATGGCACAGCCCTCAGAACGAACCTCAGCATATTTGCATCAGTTCCCCTCATCTCCAGTTTCACAGGGGCAATGCAATGGGCCTGGATGGATAGCAAGCACACGGTGGGGTTCATGTTGCAGTTCAGCTAACACTGAGTGTGAGGAATCCACTTCTTAAGCAGTTAAGCCTGCTCCTTGACCACAAGTTACTAGTTACGTAAGTACTGAGATGGCTCAGGCAAAATTGTCAACAGGGCCTTGCAGTCTTGGCACACCTAGTAAGATAAGAGGCCTGACTGTATCCTCAAACAATTATCCTTTTTGTGCTTTGGCTTTGTTCACTCTCATGTATTTGTCTCTCAACCTGTTGTACACTGATGGCTCACACAGGCTAGGCACTTATGCAATAAATACTTAATGAGACAGCTGGCTAAGAGATGAAGATAGCTTGATCAAGAATATTGTCAAATTGCAGTTTCAAAGAGTGCAGAAGAATAATTCCTTCAAAAGTTTGGCCACCACTCAGTCTGTCGGCTACCTAAGTGGAACTGAGGTCCAAAGGAAACTTTTCTGATTCATCTTTAAGAACTAAGTCTACTGCCAGTTCCTAATGTAAGGACTATCACATAATATAGTCTAGAAAGAGCCACTTCTTTCTAGAAAGAAATCTTTCATTCTGGTGAGAAGGTTGTAACAACTGACAAGACAATATAATGCTGCCAAGGAGAAGACCCAGTAATTATGCCTGTAGCACAATGTTGAGATGAAACAACTTCTGGGCCAGGCACAGTGGCTCTCACCTGTAATCCCAGCACTTTGACAAGACAATATAATGTTGCCAAGGAGAAGACCCAGTAATTATGCCTGTAGCACAATGTTGAGATGAAACAACTTCTGGGCCAGGCACAGTGGCTCTCACCTGTAATCCCAGCACTTTCGGAGGCCCAGGCAGGAGGATTTCTGAAGCCCAGGAGTTCAAGACTAGCCTGGGCAAGATGGCAAAGCCCCGTCTCTACAAAAAATACAAAAATTAGCCGGGCGTGGTGGCATGTGCCTGTAGTCCCGTAGGAACTCACCTGAGGTAGGAAAATCACCTGAGTCTGGGAGGTTGAGGCTGCAGTGAGCTATGATCACAACACTGCACTCCAGCCTGGGCGACAGAGTAAGAATCTGTCTCAGAAGAAAATTTAAAAAAAGGAAAGAGAAAAAAAACAATAAACAAAACAAAACAAAACTACTACTCAGTCCAAGAGCTGAGTGCAAGAAAAATTTTTTCCTTTGGAGTTATTTCAGACTTAAAACACCCCCGAAGTTTGTATTATCACTTAATAGTTAGCTTCCAAGGTTTTACTCTTCAGAGATATACTATCACTGCTTTTAAATTATGATCAAACTTTAATAAATTCCAGATTTTAATTAGTAACATGTAAATGATAAATATTTGAGGACTCAAAGGAGATAAAAAATGAGATTAGTAGCTGTGATGAACAACAATTAAGGAATAATTCAGCCTATGAACATTAGTAGTTAAGCTTCAGATCTACACAATGAAAGGCATAAATAAAATGACACCACTTTAAACGATTATCACCGGCAGACTCCATGAAGCACCAGCTGGGGCAAAGTCAAATGTCATGGGTTGTTTTGGTAACTCATAAGGGACACAGAAAGAGAAGCAGGCATTTTTATTCATATGGCATAAAACGTTTTTCTTTCCTAAGCAATTTCACAAAACATATCTTAAAGTTATTTTTCTATGTATTTCTATTAGAGTTCAAGAAAAAATAACATTTTTCTCCTGAAAGCTATAGTGATGTCAATAAAATGAGCACTGAAGTCATAATGTTTTAACACATTGTCATGCAGTGTTTTTGTATTTATAACTGGGATACAAAATGCTCAGTAAGTGGCTAGTGTAAAAATATTAGGCACTAATCAATTACATGTAAGAACCAAATTGATCCCATCACATTGGAGGGATTTAATCTGAAGAAAATCAGCTTTCTGACTTGGTTAAAACAAAGTCTACAATGTAATGAGACAAGATGGAAGTAGTTTAAGTAATAAATGTTTAATCAAAGAATTTTACATATTATTAACAGCATTCATTTGGCCAAACATCTACACGTTTGTAGAATCCTACTGTATATAAAGTGGGAATGTATCAAGTATAGACTATGAAAGTGCAAATAACAAGTCAAGGTTAGATTAACTTTTTTTTTTTTACATTATAAAATTAACTTGTTTACAAAATAGGCTTTGCCAAACTTCATTACTGAATTGTAAAGTCAATGACTGTGTTGTTTTTAAAATATGTACCAAGGAAATACAAATTGGATAATGATCATTTTTCATGCTCAGGAGAGAACAGCACAGAAATAAAGGATACTGCACAAGGAGCAAGGAAACCAGAACCCATTGTGTACACTATCTTCACACAGAGCATTCTTTCTCACCCTAACTGCAGTTGTGCAAGATGCCTCAATGTGATGCAAAGACTCTATATTGGAAAAATTACAACTTGGTCTAAAAACTTATTGGTGTTGATATTTTTAATCCAAAATAAATTTGTAAAAAAATCCTTTAATGGACTATTTCAGTTTAATATACAGTAATACACTGTAGATAAAGTTAATATTTCCCCCCACTAACTTTAAGAGGGATTGATATCAATGTTTCTGATCACTGGAGAAATAAAAACTAATGTGGACCTTTGATATCCATGGCATAAGAGGATTTCCACTAGTTTATCCTAAGAGGATCTGGGGAATATTAAATATTCTAATATAGTGTCCTAGCAATATGAATTTTAAGTACAAGGATATTTCAAAATCAGGGTTTAGAAAAAAAAGTAATCAAAAACCATAATCACATCTCTTGTGGATAACAATACTAATATAACTTTTTACCCAGCCCAGGATTTGCCTGTACAAACTCAGAACTGAAAGTTTGGTATCTGTAGATTTCTGGTAACAATCTGGCAAAACACTAAATTGGAGGGTTGTACTTATCTATTTTGCTTATGTTATGCTAGTTTTGATAATATTTAAGTAAAACAGCCATTCCAACAGTTTACTCTAGTTTTAATTACACACTGTACCATTGTATCTTAATTACAACTAAGACCAGTATTTTCTTCACAGTAAGACACCGATAACTAGGAAGTTGATTTTTTTCAACACTAAACAGTAATCACACAGCAAATGAGTATTGCGCAATAGAACAAACACATGTCAGCATTTGCTAATTAGGCAAACAAACTGATGGAACATTTAGTTGTTATATTTAGTGTAAAAGCAAGGCCATGGGTGGTTTTATGGAGGTCTTTGCAATTCATAGCATAGTTACTTCAGAAGAGACATTGAAATTTGAATTACTCACTTATTTAACTGGCAACTATCCATTTAGGTTAGGCAAAGGCACGGTAACATGTTGCGCAGGATGTTTTATTGAATTTCTTAATAATCGTGGGATTTACTATAACTCATGAAAACTCCACTTTTTTTTCTATTTTATAAAACACCATTAAAAGTAATTGCACCCATCAGTAATTAGAATGCACTGTAAAATTGTGAAAACAAATAACTATGATTGCACTTCCAATAAAGTGTCTCTTAAAATACAGCACCGCTGTTGCTAATCAACTGTATTTTAATATTAAAATAAACTGTTTTTAACAGCAGCATTAGGTTTAGTTAACTTAAGCTACAGGCTACATTTATATAAATGCAGTCTCCATGGCAACAAAAACCCATTTAATTCTGGAATATCATTGCTACCAAGTGGCACCTTTTACTCCCGAGAACGCTGACTCTGCCCTGGAGCACTCTAGGATGCTGCACACCTAAATGCCTTGTTAGTCAGCGCACAAGTCAGAGTTTGGCACAGTTGGACTGTAAATAGACATGAAAGGAAATCTTTGATTCATGTGAAATTAAAACTAATCACACTTGTGGTAGATGTGGTACTAAAGAGACTTCAATTCACATTGCTCAGACAAAAAGGAAGTAAGTTACGGAAGAGCACAAAGAGATTGAAGACATATATGTTATCGGATCTATCCAAAATAAATTTCTAGAATGAAGAAAACTTTTTTTTTTTTTTTTAAAGGAAAGCCACCCAAAGATTAGGCAGTAAGCCTTTAGTTTAAATGTTCAATAAAGTATTGTCAAGTCTAGGCTAAATAGAGGACTGCATTTTCTTGAAGAGTGTGGAATACAACTTATTTCATTTTTGTTTCTCTTTCTCTTGCTCTTCTTTTTGTCAGCAAAAAGGGGAAAAGCTATTCAATTAAATACAAAGGAAATTCCCTGTAAGGTTAAAATAAAAAATGAAGCTACCATTCAAGGGAACTCCTTTGGATTCAACCCTAATGTCAGTGGTTTATCACTGAGTTGGAATTAAGTGAATCAAAGTCTCTATCAAGCATACTCCACCTAGCATACCATCTGTAACTGTAATTCACTTAGAGCCCAGATGTGTGCAGTTCACACTAAATGTACTTGTTCAAGCCAGTCACTTGAGGTTTGAGGTGTTTGACTTGAAACATCTGAACCATCTCCTCTGTTGGCCGCCTCATTACCACTGTCACCAGCTTGAGACACTGCTTCCTCAGCCAGAATATTTTCTTCCAAAGGATTTTCTTCTATCTGGGTTCCTCTATCTTCACTGACACTGGCATCTTCAAACACTGAATCTTCTGGCAGCACCAGTTCCACATCCTTCACACCTTCTGACCCATCTTTGATACAGGGGAGCTGCGAATCTGCACTGATTTCTGTAGTTGCTGGAGGAATCAGGGCAATACTCTGAGGGTTCATGTCATGAAACCAAGCCATGATGTTGCCAAGAAGATTGTCATTGATGTTGGGGTCCTGGCCAGCTGAGTCAGGGTCACTAGCTGAGGGACAGAAATCACTTCTTGCCTCACTGAGAGGGTGTGAACTCAGGGTGTCAGTTGAAAATGGGTCACTCTCTGCTCCTAGTCTCATGAGGCTGTCACCAAGTTCCAAAAGCTCAGAGCTGCTCAATGCAGCCCGAGGGCTATCTGTATTTCTGGGGACAGAGTCCAGCCTGGAAGGTAAAGAAGTGCCTATTGCACCTAAGGATGCTTCATTACTGAGGAAGTCTCTAGTTTCTTCATCGAGGGTCAGCCCAGACTCTTGCAGTGATAACTGTATTGCAAGAAGTATATTGGGATCATCTTCATCCAAGGAACTCAGAGCCTGAAGCAACAGAAAGCAAAACTACTTTAAAATTTGACTAAAGAAAAACTAATTTAACTCAATCAGGTTTACCACTCTTCCTTTACCAATGGATTATTAATTTTATTTATACAGAAAAATTATTTTATCTACTAAAATCTTATATTTTTCTCCATGCCCATGCTAAAGGAAAAAAAATACCTTAAAATGAATCTAAAATATAGGAAAATCTTTTCCTGCAGCACATCTTTAAAATAAAGATTTTAGAATGGAAAGAAGAAACAGGAAAGTGATGAAAGTAACAACAGGAAACCACACTCAACAGACAAACAGTAAAAACATAGGCAATGAGGCTGCTCAGAAAGGCTACCTGAAGAGAGTCCTGGTTTTCAGAGCGACTGGCAGGGGTGTAGTCACGCAGGGAAGAGCTGTGCAGCACACTCATAGATGCAGAACTTACCACGGATGTGCCAGGCCTGCGGCTGCTGCTGCCGCCTTCTGGAATATCTGTTTCAAAGCAATTGGTACCAAAGACAATTTAGTGACAAGTAAGACTCATTTATTTTTTTCATACACCTGGTTGTTTAGATTGGCAATTTCTCTTTCAGTGCTGGGGAAAACTTGTGTTGACATGTTCACTTAATCTTTCTGGGATTTCTCATCCATATTTGTCTTAATAAGCAATAATATATATGATACTATCACTTCAAATCCATGATTTTTTTACCTTTTTTTTTCTTTTTGAGATGGAGTCTTGCTTTGTCGACGACCTAGCTGGAGTGCAGTGGCGCAATCTTGGCTTACTGCAACCTCTGCCTCCTGGGTTCAAGCGATTCTCCTGCCTCAGCCTCCTGAGTGGTTCGGACTACAGACGTGCGCCACCATGCCTGGCTAATTTTTGTATTTTTAGTAGAGATGGGGTTTCATCATGTTGGTCAGGATGGTCTCCATCTCCTGACCTTGTGATGTGCACACCTTGGCCTCCCAAAGTGCTGGGATGACGGGCATGAGCCACCGTGCCTGGCTGACTTTTACATTTTTGCTTGCAGTCTATATGGTTCTTTTCATAAATGCAAGTGCTACTATCCATTTCTCTTTTTTTGTTAAGCAATAACTAGTAAAGGTTTTTCATTTTTAGATTTCTTAAAATTAAATAATTTGGGATTTACAGTAGTCTGAAGAGCAAATCTTTAGTCCCATTGATCCTGACATTATAGTCAGAAGATTTTCACTTATTAATTTAACATTTAAAAGTTGAATAATTAAAATAATTTATCTCTAATGCCAGAAATTCTCTCTTAAATAATGTCTACAGGACAACTAAGGCTAGGAGACAAATATTCCATGAACACAAAAACAGTATCAATCAATAAGACAATTAACTGAGTGCTTCACTAGGTGCTTAAATGTTTTAGAAGCATTATCTAATTTAATACTCACAATGAGCCTATAAGGTGGCACTATTATTATTGTGTCTTTAGAATGTGGAAACAACCTTAGAGAGGCTGTGACCTAAGTTACACAGCTAATATGCAGCAGAGATAGGGTCATGAAGCCAAGTTTGCCTGACTCCACAGACCATGCTCCTAACTCCTCTGATTTTCTGTGTCTTGTCACAACAGAAGCATCTGCATATTTATTGTATATCTAAATGACAAACTCGTTCACAAACATTTATATCAGCCAGTTTGAAAGATAAACTCAAGAGAACTATGGGATTAAACCATACTCAACCCAAGGACTTACCTAAAGTGCTTTCACTTGGCTCATCAGCGTCTGGAGGATTACTGAGTAGACTGTGAACGTCTCCTCGACGACGCTGTCTGTGCCTCCTCCGATACTGAAATTCAGCATATTCCTGCATAAACCAAAGGTTATAAAATACAAGAGAGCATGCAATTTTTAAAATGCAAATAAAATAAACTACACACTTTTTTCCAGGGGAAAAAGTTTGTGATTTTATACACATCTTATAGAATCACTTGGCTGAAACATCAGGTTTTGCCATGCCAAGGAAACACAAAAGGTAAAATGGAAAAAGAAAGTTTTCAACAGTCATTACAATTGCCTAAATTAGGAATACTTGCAAGCCCCAATGCTACATTAGAACACCCCTATTTCATATGCCTGATGATTTCAAGAATCTTGTTATCTAATTAACACTACAATCATATTACTCATTTAAGTAAGGCTTTCCTTGAAGGGAGGTTTTTTATTTTTTTATTTTTAGAGTCAGGAGCTTGCTATGTTGCTTAGGCTGGTCTTGAACTCCTGGCCTCAAGCAATCCCTACTACTCGGCCTCCTAGGTAGCTGGGATTACAGGTGTGAGTCATTGCACCTGGACACAAAAGTGGTTTTAAAAAAGTGACTGGGGCAGGTGCGGTGGCTCACGCCTATAATCCTAGTGCTGTGGGAGGCCAAAGCAGGCAGATCACCTGATGTCAGGAGTTTGAGACCAGCCTGGCCAACATGGTGAAACCCCATCTCTACTAAAAATACAAAAAATTAGCCGGGCATGGGGGTGGGCACCTGTAATCCCAGCTACTCGGGAGGCTGAGGCAGGAGTATCACTTGAACCCAGGAGGTGGAGATTGCAGTGAGCCAAGATTGTGCCACTGCACTCCAGCCTGGGCAACAGGAGCAAGACTCCCATCACAAACAAACAAAAACAAAAACAAAAACAAAACAAAACAAAAAAAGTGACTGGGATACATGTAACAGAAAAAGAAAAAAAGGAACAACAGTAAAAAAGAACACACACTATTAAGTAGTTGCCAGATTGTTGGATTTTCTATTCTTTGGGACTGCTACATACCATATTCACAAATCGAATAACTAGATTAAAAGACAAATGTTAGGTTAGCTTTAAAATAAGATGCTTATTTAGCTTCTTTTCTATATAAGTCAATATGTGGTGCTATTTACAACACAGGAAGGGGAAACGTTTTCTATTTAGCATATGGGATGAACACAGACTTAGGCAGATGTCCTCAGTCTATTTTACATTTGTGACAATGTTTAAAGTGAGTTTGTTATCACCAGAGGGTACAACCTGGGACCATCTGCTATTACCTGGGTATAAATGTGACAGAAGGGAAGAGAATAAAAGAGAAAGGAAGAGAAGAGAGGAGGCCAGGGTACATGATACCAACATAAAAAGGCTAATTTAGACAATCATTATGGTGTTTTTCCATGATAAACACTAAGATACTCAACTTTATGATTATCCTGGTTACCCTAGAATATTCAATATGCTTATATTGTGAAAGTACTAGGAGTAGGTGAAGACAAATTTTGTATCACAAATAAAACTTTCACATCATACTACTCTGGTGACTTTATTTAAACTTCTTCATTTATATAAGTAGTTGGACTCCTAAGAAGTGGGAGGCATCCTGTTAGGTTAGAAACTAATAAATGAAAGATACTCCAAGTGCCCTGAAGGTTTATACAGGTTCTTTAAAATGCCTTGCTGAGGTGGGGCATCATTTCCTCTTTTCCTACAGGCCCATGATCTCAAACTGATGACTTATTAAGTGTCATCAAGGCTCAACAGACCAGTGAGGAACACCAGCTACATTTCTTAGACAAAGATGGTATGAAAATTTTATCTCAATTCAAGGTTTATATTAGGGATAATTTGCTGACTTTGTAAACTTGATAATAGTACAAAGTTATGCATTAAACTATTACTGACCATAGACTATACATATTTCCAATTTAAGAAAATGAAACCGTTTAAAAGCAAATGCAAAAGAAACTTGTATATCTAATCGTCTGACAGAAAACTCTCAGATGGCATTCTCTCATGATGCAACAGGCTTAAATATATTGTTCTCATGAAATTTATCTGAAAATTTCCAAGGATTCCTAAGATCTTCAAGAATGTATATTAAAAGGGTTTAGTCAGTATACTCCAAATGGTTTGAGAATGTTAAGGATACAGAGAAGACTAAAATGTTCTAAGATTTACAGAGGGAGAGGCTGTAAGGAGCTGTTTTAAGTAACAATTGCAACAATTTTGTCAGTGGCTTAATGAGATGCTTTAATCCTAGAACTTCCATGGGGTATCACCATCCACATTGTAAAGATGAGAAATTAAGAAAGAACATAGCCTAGGATCTAATAAGTTACACTTAGAATTTGAATTCAGGTGTTCCTCAGACTTTATGCTATTTCCACTGAGCTCCACTGCCTTTAAAGTAGCATAAAACAAACCTTTATGCTTGCCAGACTCAAGTTAAATTGAAAAGAGTACAATGAAATTAACTTCACTGAAAAAAATATAAATTCAATCTAAGTCTACTAAAGTTGGTAACCTTGTTTTTTCCCTCACTATTAAGGCAGAGAGCTATTTTTCAAAAATATAACTCTGGCAGTTACTCGATAGTCATACATATGCAGAATTTGAAAGTCTAACAATGTGTAGTAATTCTTTATATCTGCAATAAGGTTTATGTAAAAGCCTAGTGTTTCAATGTGTCAAAGACTAAAGAAAACTAAAAGTAAATAATTTCTAAAAAATTATCAATTCATAAAAAATAAAGTAACAGTCATATTAGTAGGCCCTCAATATTCAAGGACAAATATTTCATGATTCCTTAAGTTTCTGTCAGAGCCAGAAGCTGCAAGATGATACACATACATGCTTGTGAATACACTGATGAAGGTTTTATTTATTTTTGCTAAATAGTGTTTCTACCTTAAAACACGGAAATCATTAGTATTTTTTTTTCTTTTATAATTTCAGTTTGCTTATTCTTCCTTTTATGTGGAAGTTTTCCACAATATCCCCGAAGCTGTAAATGTATTAAAACATAGAAATAATAAATGCAGGATCAGATAAAGGTTCATAATTAGTTTTAAAATGAAAATTTCATTAATATATCACAATTTTTAAAATAATTTAAGTGAATTTAAAATGTCCAGATCAGGGCTCTAAGCACAATTTTTTTCAAGTCAATATTTTCTTGGATGTATCTACCACTACAAAAACCACAGGTGATTGCAAGTATCTTCAGCAGCTGAAAAGAGAAAGTATCTGATTTAAACAAGCCACAGTCATGCCTGGATAATAATCAATTTCATTGTCTTTCAATTGCAGGTAACAAATGGGTTATACATTACAAACAAAGTTCTCCTCATTTGTTCTGTACCCTTCCAAAAATTAAGTTGAAGGGTTATCATATTATAGGCATCAAATACTGGTTAATAAAGAGCAAAGATGGAAAGAGAGAAGTAGAAAGAATTGCTAAAACCATTTTAAAATCAGACTCAACAATGACAGTGGCAATTTAAATCTCAGAAAACAGTTATGTGATTAAGAGTTTCACTCTGTCTTATTTTTATTTGCCACAACTGCTATCTGTAGTGTTAGTAATTTAGACTTTCTGTATTTTAAAACGGTATATTAATAATGACAACAAAAAAATAAGTAAAGAGTGTGAAAGTCTTGAAGATAAGCAGAAAGCAACTAAGCAAAGCATTTCTTTATGCATACACATTATTAATGTCAAGTTTTCCACTTTAGCAACTGATTATAAATCAATTCCCTCAGGTTGTTGCATTAACCTTAAAAATGGATTGTTCTTTTATATTTTTAATAGTTTCAGACTAAAACAATATTATGACTAGAAATGCATTTCTAATAAACTGTCTCTCTATTAACAAATTAGAAGATATTTTCCAAAAATGTATATTGTAAATTTGCCTTAATTCTGACTACTCAGTAATTGAAAACAATAAAAGAGTAATGCATTTAACAATGTGATGATATACCAATACCATATAAATAGCTAAATGTAGGCTCTGTCAAGGATTTTTGTTACAAAAGAAAGAGAGCACTGCTGATAATCTCAGTAGGATTTAGAATAGATAAGGATGCAAATACAAGCACAATTGCAGTAAGAAAAAATACAAAAACAAAAACCCCATAAAACAATTACCTCTGGTGATGCAAATCCTAAATATTCCCAATCCCATGTTCCACCAGCAAAGCTACAAAGAAATTAGACATACCATTTGATTTAATATCAGTACTACAAAGTATATACAATCAGATCCTTGCCCTTTGAACATTACTTTAAATTCCTCTGTTGGAACTTGCTTAACCAAAGTAGATCAACTATTAAAACAGAATTAAAATGATAATTTCATTATTTCTTTCAAATTCTAAGTTTTTATGTTTCTGTAAAAATGATCAAAAAATAAAAATTACCATGTTATAACAAAGTATTTTATAACCGCTTCTATTTTTATTTTACAAGTAAATATTTACTCATAAATATTACATAAAAATAGGATCAAAGGAATTTATGTAAAATAGTGCCAAAGGAATGTTTAATGCTTATAATTATTGTAAATAGGAAAGTATGCTTCAATTTACAGAAGTAGTATGAGTATGTAAAATAAAACAACCACAACTCAAGTGATCTTTAGTGGATGAGTTTATCACTTGAATAACTACAAATATCAAATTTCTCTTTCCTTCACAACTTCTTAATACAAAAATACAAATATGACCATAACAAGCTGGCAAAGTTTCCAAATTCCACATCATGAGATGTTTATAACTATCAAATCACTATATATATTACATATTTGAAATGATACATTAGAATACTTTTAATTATGAGTTCACCTGAAATGTGAAATTAACCTAGGTTAATTTAGTCTAAGGAGCTACACAATGATAAACAAAAAATAACAAGAAAAACAGAAATAGCGTGGAGGAAAAAAAAAAATCACCAAAAAAAGTTAACATACTTTTATGAGCTATCCATATTTTAGGTGTAAATAATTTCCAAGAATATGAACCCTAGTTGGATAAAACATAAAACTGCTGGCATTTGTGGCTGGAGCCAGGATGATTTCCAGTGTACATCCTTCTTACCTGCGCCTTGGAGCTTCTGGTGAGTCTGCAGGAGCTACTCCCCGAGCCACAGATGCCAGGAATTCTTGCCTCTTCTGCTGTACAAGGCATGCTGCTTTGATGATCTTGTGGCGGGGTGTGCGAAGGTAAGGCCTATTGACTTTCTGGGCAAGGTCTTCAGTGACCATTTCTAGGTCTGTCTATAGTAAGCAGAGAAAAAAAAAAGATCACAGGCTTCATAGGTTAATCAATAGCAAATCCAGAGTCTATGTGGTTTCTCAGTTAAATCTAACTCTTTTGAAGTAAGAAACTAGTTCAAATTTTGAAATAACTTCCTATGTAATGTATTTTCTATTTTGTACATGTTTTCTAGATTATGAACGAGAAAGGATTATATATAAAATCATGTGAAATTTTAAAAAAGCACTTGATAGGCATTTATAGAAATGAAATTGGTATAGACTACAAAGAAGCAGTGAGTATAGCAGCTGTTTACAAGGAATTTATAATCTGTCTATGTGAAAAAAACTAATACATTTCAATGCACCATACAAGCAAATGCACGATGCCATAGTGCAGACTATATAAAAGTGCTGAAGGAATTTGAATTAAGGCAAGACGACAGTGATCGGGGTCAAGTCTGGAAGGCTGTATGGAGAAAATGAGTACTGATCCTTGATGGAAATGTAGGATATAAATTAGCAAAGGACAGTTCAAAGGGTGACATGAAAACTGTAACAGGAGAAAGTTTAGAGGCTTCAAAAGAAAAGAAATGTACAATGAAGTTATTTAGCTATAGTGATGCTAACTGGCTTAGGTGTTTTTGTTTTTTAAATACTGTAACTTTTTCAGTTGTATTTAAAAAATAAACTGGTAAATAGCAACTTTCTCATCTTGTAGGTAATGTGAGTTGTTTCATCTTTGATGATAAAATTCTTAATTACATAATCAGAAATATGCCTGATTTCAAACATCAACCAGTTTAAAACAAAGACAAAAATGCTATAGGAAATGTTTGCATCACTCATAACTCATTCAGACCTGCAGAGTGACAAATTTAAACAAAGAAAATTTCAATTTATTAGTGGTAACTTTTCCTTTATTTAAAAACTATTTAAAAAATGAAAAGAAAATTGTTTTACTGATCATGTCCACATGAAATAAAATAAGTGGTTTGAAAAAGGAAAAACTGTATTTCGTAATAACTGCTGCTATTTAAATGTAATTAAAAAATATCTTACTTGCATTAGTTCGAAAATTTCTTTCTTTGTGCTTTTAGGTTCCAAGAAAAATCCATATGGATAAGAACACTTGAGAATGCGCCGAGTTTTTAAGAGCACATGAACTGCATCTTCAATGAAAGTGGTATCTGGACAGCCTCCTTCAGCTAAAAAGTAATTGAGGCACAGTGAATTTGTTTTTGCAAATATGCCATTTGTAATATTAATTAAACAATGATTTTTCTGAAAAAAGAAAAAAGAAGGATCATTAGGACAAAAACTGTTTTAAGTAACTGTCTGAAAATACTTATTTGAACCAAACTAAAAAACCACATAAAATACTCATGTGTGACATGTATGTGTTTATAAAAGAAGTATATGCCCCAGCAGCCCAGGAGCACTGATGGTATTCATAAAGGAATGCACATACTCATCTTGGATTCTGGTCTCACTCCATTGGTAAGCAAATCTAGCTTTAGGTCAGCCAAAAGGTTCTAGGCTTTACTTTTTCAGATTATCCCTGGCAGAATTTCCCTGCGTAACAATGAGAACAAATGCCTTTTCTAAGTTGCTTATAAAAAGAGCCTAATTATGTAAAATCAATACTGTAAGGAAAAAGATACAACATTCTGGCAAACAACTAGACAACTAATCCTAGTTAATAAAAAAATCCAGAGAAAGAAAGAAGGGGAGGAAGAATGAGGAAGATGGAAGACGAAATTGCCTTAACATCTGAGACTTTTTGTTCTAAGAATATCATTATAACAGTCTAGGTTTTCACTTAACTGAAAAAAAAAAAAAACAAAAAAATAAAAACCAGAAATTAAGTACGAGAATCTAAGTTTGCAAATACTTTAGAAAATCATATTATTTTGGATGCCTGTAGAAAGAAATTCAGTGTGTGTACACAAACTGACATACAGACTACCCTGAGATTTCTGACGTATGTGAGAAATGTGTGAAGTTTTGCTTCTTCCCTTTCAATTGCTGTACCTTCTTGTTTTTTTCCCCTAATTTGTTATGCTGCCTGGAACTTCCAGAATGCTGAATAGAAGCAATAATTCACATCTACAAATATTGAATGTTGTTAAGTGTCAGGCACAACTGGAAGCACTAGGGATGCATTAGTGACCAGACAAAAATCCCTGCTGAAGAGCTGTATGACTTGTGAGGATTTTTTTCCTCTCAATTTATACTGTGGACAATACTTCAAGAGTTTGATATTGCCTAATACAGTTATACCTTTAATGAAGTCTAAGAACTAATAATTAACAAGCAGGCTATACTGCTATTGACATATTCTTCCCCATTCCATTTAACTTATGGTTTGTCTTGACTAGGGAATTATCCTAATGGAAAGGATTTTAATATTCATTATTTTGATAAACTGGAGCAACCCAAGTATAACATCACATTTTTCACCTTAAAATGTACTTTTCATATGTAAGCTATTATTTTTAAAAGGTGACTTTTTAAAACAAAAATAACAGAACCTGCACCCTGTGTAGTCATTGTGGGTTATTATATTCTAATGATGCTATCAATACTCAATTCATATTTTTGAATATTCTTATAAAACTTATAATTTAGGACCCACACGTTAGCTCCACCTCATGGCTTTGCTTTTTGACCCCAATGTTCATTATTTACCAGTGAAATGATTTCTCTGCAAACTGTTACTGACTTCCACATCCTTAGCCACTCTGCTAAATTTTCTCAATAATTTTTGGGTATTCAGTTACTTGACAGTTGGGTAGCACGTGTATCTTGCTCCTCTAAGTCAGTGATGTCCTTTAGGACCCATCCACTTTTCCCAACATTGTAGAGCATCAGCAGTGACACAGAGTAAGCAAAATCATGAAGTGTTTTTATCTCATAACAGCACAGGCTGCATCAAGAGGAAGCGGCTAGGTGCTGGGTAGAAAATCCAATCACAGAGACCTCATCTGCTAAGCTGCACTCAGGGCTTCAAAGAACTCAAAACAGTACCAGAACGAGCTAATGGACATAATGTATTCCTTTCAGGGCCTAACCTAATAGTGAAGCAACAAGCATGGAAAGATATTTTATATTAATTATCACACATACAACTTATAACTTACTTTCTTTGAGAGCTCTGCTCAATTGTTCCATCTTTTCTTTGGCTGTTTTAAGAAGGCGTTGTTCTAGCTAAAAGAATAGAAATAAAGCATGTAAACCATTCTCTTTATTTATTCACAACAGTATAGGTCAGCTCATTTGAAATTATTTGGGACATACCTGATAACTATGCTCGTGGTTTTTAAATCTTGTATAATAGTGCATAAATCTGTCAAGTTCCTGAAATCGTTTGTGTTTTTTCTCAGCCTAGAAAACAAAAGTCCACAAATGACTTTTATAAAAACTAGTGGCTACTAAAATAGTTTTTTGGGGGAATCATTTAAAAGTTTTATTAGTGATAGGTATAGTGCATTCAGATTTGTGAATTATTTTCTTGACAGAAAACAATATTTTCTTTTTTTTTTTTTTGAGATGGAGTCTCGCTGTGTCACCCAGGCTGGAGTGCAGTGGTGCAATCTGAGCTCACACAAACCTTGCCTCCTGGGTTCAAGTGATTTTCCCGTCTCAGCCTCCTGAGTAGCTGGGATTACAGGAGCCCACCACCATGCCTGGGTAATTTTTGTATTTTTAGTACAGATGGGGTTTTACCATGTTGGCCAGGCTGGTCTTGAACTCCTGACCTCAAATGATCTGCCCACCTCGGCCTCCCAAAAGTGCTGGGATGAAAAGCATGAAACACTGTGCTCGGCCTTCAATGTTTTATTATATGGCTTTTTGCTATGGACTAATGGTATTTCCTTTAAAATTCATATTTTGAAGCCCTACCCCCAATGTGACTGTATTTGAAGATAGGACCTGTAAGAAGGTGATAAAGGTTAAATAAGGTCATCAGGGTGGGCCCTATTCTGATAGGACTGGTACCCTTATAAGAAGAGGAAGGGGCACCAGAGGTCTCTCTGTCTTTTCTGGCCACCTGAGGAAATAGTGAGAGGGTGGCTGTCTGCAAACCAAGAAGAGCACCCTCATCAAGAACCAAATTGGCCAGCACCTTGACCTTGGACTTCACAACCTCTAGAACTGTGAGAAATAAATTTCTGTTAAGCCACCCAGTCTGTAGTATTTTCTATGGCAGCTGAGCAGACTAAGACACTTGCTTTACAGTATAATGTAATATTGTATTGTTGATATTAATGTTAAAATTGTTTTTAAGTATTTACAGAGGTAGACTGGGATATATCATTTTTCATACGTATCTTCACCAAAATTAAAAGAAGGAAAATGTAAAAGGGAAAAAGCTCTCAAGTTTACACAGCTATTTTGTTGAAATTAAAGGCTACTATAAAGTATATTCAATTTAATACCTTATTAAGATGAAAATGGACAAAGAAATGCAAAATAACTCCAGTAGCAATGAGCGGCTTAGAGAGATGTCTTGGCTTAATTGGTTCTCTTTACCTCCACAGTCATTTCCTTGGATTGCTCCTCCACATGCTGAATGACTTCATAGCGAGTACATCTGTAATAACCTCCAGTGGAAGAACTATGTTTTTTCCACTCTTCAAGGCATATCCAGCAAAAGTCATACTTGCACTTCAAAAGAAAACACAGATGAAAACATCTCCCCAAAGCAGAAAATTATTTTCTGCTTTATAGCCAACCAATCTGTAAAGATTAAATAACTGTGCTTGTGTGACCAGGAACAAATCTTCTCAAAGACATGCTCTCTTTCTCCTGTTTCCTCTAGAGACATTATCTGCATTATGGAAAGATGTGGGGTAGTTTAAAATTATTGTTTATAGGGATATATTAAAATGTAAAGCATAATATTATGAAGTAATCACAAGGAATCATTAAAAATATCAATAAGATATTCTTTCCAAATAATATCAGATGCAAGTGTTTCATTTTTAAGTGCATTCTAATCTGACACTGGTATATAAAGCTCCACCAGTCTATTTGAAAAACTTCTGGCAATACTGACAAATTGGTTTTGAAACCAGAACTATGCTTAAAAGACCTCTAAGTGGAACAGCTGATATAAAAACGGTTTCCCATTTTAATGTAAATTTCACTGAATTACCATAATTATCAGACAGTGCCAAAAATATGAGCATTCAGTATGAAAACACATCCTTTTTTATGCTTAGGGATTTTTGAGTCAGTTAAAAAGATCTTCCCATTCTGTTGTCTTCAGGTACTCTTTATGGTTTATTTATTTTTTATTTTATTTTATTATACATTAAGTTCTAGGGTACATGTGCACAACGTGCAGGTTTGTCACATATGTATACATGTGCTGTGTTGGTTTGCTGTACCCATTAACTCGTCATTTACATTAGGTATTTCTCCTAATGCTATCCTTCCCCCATCCTTCTACCCCACAACAGGACCCGGTATGTGATGTTCCCCACCCTATGTCCAAGTGTTCTCATTGTTCAGTTCCCACCTATGAGTGAGAACACGCAGTGTTTGGTTTTCTGTCCTTGTGATAGTTTGCTCAGAATGATGGTTTTCAGCTTCATCCATGTGGCTACAGAGGACATGGACTCATCCTTTTTTATGGCTGCATAGTATTCCATGGTGTATATCTGCCACATTTTCTTAATCCAGTCTATCATTGATGGGCATTTGGGTTGGCTCCAAGTATTTGCTATTGTGAATAGTGCCGCAATAAACATACAAGTGCATGTGTCTTTATAGTAGTATGATTTATAATCCTTTGGGTATATACCCAGTAATGGGATCACTGGGTCAAATGGTATTTCTAGTTCTAGATCCTTGAGAATTGCCACACTGTCTCTTCCACAATGGTTGAACTAGTTTACGCTCTCACCAACAGTGTAAAAGTGTTTCTACTTTTCCGCATTGTCTCCAGCACCTGTTGTTTCCTGACTTTTTAATGATCGCCATTCTAACTGGTGTGAGATGGTATCTCATTGTGGTTTTGATTTGCATTTCTCTGATGATCAGTGATGATGAGCATTTTTTTCATGTGTCTGTTGGCTGCATAAATGTCTTTTGAGAAGTGTCTGTTCATATCTTCTGCCCACTTTTTATGGGGTTGCTTTTTTCTTGTAAATTTGTTTAAGTTCTTTGTAGATTCTAGATATTAGTCCCTTGTCAGATGGGTAGATTGCAAAAATTTTCTCCCATTCTGAGGGTTGCCTGTTCACTCTGATGGTAGTTTCTTTTGCTGTGCAGAAGCTCTTTAGTTTAATTCGATCCCATTTGACTATTTTGGCTTTTGTTGCCATTGCTTTTGGTGTTTTAGTCATGAAGTCCTTGGGCCCATGCCTATGTCCTGAATGGTACTGCCTAGGTTTTCTTTCAGGGTTTTATGGTTTTAGGTCTAACATTTAAGTCTTTAATCCATCTTGAATTAATTTTTGTATAAGGTGTAAGGAAGGGATCCAGTTTCAGCTTTATACCGCTAGCCAGCTTTCCCTGCACCATTTATTAAACAAGGAGTCCTTTCCCCATTTCTTATTTTTGTCAGTTTTGTCAAAGATCAGATGGTTGTAGATGTGTGCTGTTATTGCTGAGGCCTCTGTTCTGTTCCATTGGTCTATATCTCTGTTTTGGTACTAGTACCATGCTGTTTTGGTTACTGTAGCCTTGTAGTATAGTTTGAAGTCAGGTAGTGTGATGCCTCCAGCTTTGTTCTTTTTGCTCAGGATTTCTTGGCAATGTGGGCTCTTTTTTGGTTCCATATGAACTTTAAAGTAGGTTTTTCCAGTTCTGTGAAGAAAGTCAGTGGTAGCCTGATGGGAATGGCATTGAATTTATAAATTACCCTGGGCAGTATGGACATTTTCACAATATTCATTCTTCCTATCCATGAGCATGGAATGTTTTTCCATTTGTTTGTGTACTCTTTTATGTGGTTGAGCAGCGGTTTGTAGTTCTCCTTGAAGAGGTCCTTCCCATCCCTTGTAAGTTGGATTCCTAGGTATTTTACTCTCTTTGAAGCAATTGTGAATGGGGGTTCACTCATGATTTGGCTCTCTGTCTGTTATTGGTGTATAGGAATGCCTGTGATTTTTGCACATTGATTTTGTATCCTGAGACTTCGCTGCAGTTGCTTATCAGCTTAAGGAGATATTGGGCTGAAAAGATGGGGTTTTCTAAATATACAATCATGTCATCTGCAAACAGGGACAATGTGACTTCCTCTTTTCCTAATTGAATCCCCTTTCTTTCTTTCTCTTGCCTGATTTCTCTGGCCAGAACTTTCAACACTATGTTGAATAGGAGTGGTGAGAGAGGGCATCCCTGTCTTGTGCCAGTTTTCAAAGGGAATGCTTCCAGTTTTTGCCTACTCAGTATGATACTGGCTATGGGTTTGTCATAAATAGCTCTTATGATTTTGAGATACATTCCATCAATACCTAGTTTATTGAGTTTTTAGCATGAAGGGCTGTTGAATTTTGTCAAAGTCCTTTTCTGCATCTATTGAGATAATCATATGGTTTTTGTCTTTGGTTCTGTTTATGTGATAGTTTATGTTTATTGATTTGCGTATGTTGAACCAGCCTTGCATCCCAGGGATGAAGCCAACTTGATCTTGCTGCATAAGTTTTTTGATGTGCTGCTGGATTTGGTTTGCCAGTATTTTATTGAGGATTTTTGCACTGATGTTCATCAGGGATACTGGTCTAACATTCTCTTTGGAGATAAGATCGCAAATAGATGAAATAATTTTGGCTGGATCCTCAGCTGAACAATAAATAACACTTTTGAATATTTTGCTCACAACACTGCCCTAGGTTTTTCTTCCTGCCTCTTAGAGAATCATTATTACTGCCTCACTAAGCCAGTTCATTTATGTTAATTTTACAGTAACACAGACTTACAAAAATTATTTTGTACCTGCCATTCTTTTGCAAGTATAGTAACAATCATTAAGCTTCAAAGTTAAAAATCAAGTAATACCCAGAACATATTATTATATTTTACTGGAATCTTAACCATTTAAATTTCCTTCATGTCCTAAATTAGGAAAAAAAATACATTTTCCTCTCAATAACTTTAAATAATCATTTTATACATAGATGACATTTCCAATGATAAAGTAAAATAAATCAGAATATCATTATAATTTTAAACCAAAAAAATGTTCATAAATGTAGGTAGGTTATTAGTAATAAAATGTTATTAATAATATACCAGCAGAGTTGTTTTAAACACACTGCTGTTTCTTCCTGTACAAGTAATTAAAGAGGGTAGTTATTCTATCCAGCCTTTTGACCTCTAACATTAATCATTTATATTAAGTATTTTTCAGCCAAGTGAATCTTTGTTGGCATTTTCATTTTCAATATAATAAAGAGTTACTTATTTTATTGCTTGTTTTTTTAGCAGTCCTAAAGTCTGGCCATTGCTTTGGGTTCTTGTATTATACAGGTGTTCCCTGGTATCCACAGAGGATTGGTTCCAGGACCTCCTGCAAACACCAAAATCTGAGAATAATCAAGTCCCCAATATAAAATGATGTATTATTTGCATACTAACCTATGCACATCCTCTAGTATACTTTCAATAATCTCTAGATTACTTATAATATCTTACAATGTATATGCTATGTAAATAGTTGTTATATTGCATTGTTTAGGGGATAATTACAAGAAAAAAAAATCTGTACAAGTTCGATACAGATGCAATTTTTTTCCCTAAGTATTTTTGATCCATGGTAGACTGAATCCATGAATGCAGAACCCAACAATATGAAACTCATCGATACAGAGGGCCGACTGTATGGAGACAGTATATGGACTGGATTTGGGCCTAGTTTGGGCCTTGAGTCTAAGCCGTATGCTCCAAAACCAGCTTCACAAGAGATCTATATAAGGCAGCACTTTGTTAATCATTGGATAACACACACACACACACACAAACTCTCTCAAGACTCTCACTGGGGAAGGTGACTAGCAAGGAAGGATTCATGAATTTCTGATCTTCTGGTTGAATACCACAGATTTTTACCCTTACCTTTTGTTTTTTTGTTTCTAAAGAGATGGTGTTTTTGGGGTTTTGTTACTTTGCTCAGGCTGGTCTTGAACCCCTGGCCTCAAGTGATCCTCCTGCCTCAACCTCTTGAAGTACTGGGATTATAGGCAAGAGCCACTGTACCAGGCCCCCTCAAATAATTTATCCTTTGGATTGACAATCAAACTAAATTAAGATTCCAAATGCAAAGCATGAAAAATCCTCTTTAACTTCTTACCTTAGCACACTGCATGTGATTGCAGCCTTCATTCTTCTGTATTGGAGACTTACAGTTGGCACAAGGCTTGGAGTTAGTTAATAACCAGAGACAATTGGCCGCATCCTCGTAGGCTTCACTAACTCCCACAACTTTGGGATATTAAGCACAAACACAAAAATAAATGATTTACTGTACAACTTCTGGGGGAAAAAAACCCTCCAGACTTTTCTTTGCAGGCTCTCAATTTTAATAAAATATTTATTTTCCGATCAGTGTCTGTGGCAACATTTTTAAACTTCTTCATTTTGAGTAGCCTAATTACAAGATAAGGAACTCTATTCCAAAAGACCTATTCATGAAACCTGGTTTAAGGGCAATTTCTACATAAACTTGTGCCCAAATAAACTGGGACCAAAAACAACATACACAAAAAAGGTTTTTTTTTTTGTTTTTTTTTTTTAATGCAACATATTACTCCATTTAAAATAACTATTGTATCAAAGAAAATTACAGAAAGAACAGTTACTTTAGACGATAATTTACAGAACAGGCCAGACGCAAATATAATTATCAGAAACTCTTTACCATAGTAAAAAGCAAAAAATATCAACATCTTTTTTATCCATGAGTATTCTGGATAAACTTAAAATTAATTCAATGTGACATGTCTAAAACTAAGCATCTCATTTATTATACCCTCTTTCTCTATCATATCTGGTTCCTCTCCATTCCCAGTTCTTATGCTTTAAGGCAGGGTCCTTCATACCTCTTGCCTAGACAACTAAAGCATAGAAAATCAACTTATCTCCCCAGTTCCTTCAAGGGCCCACCTCCAACTACACTGCTTGCACAGTGATTTTTTAAAAAAATCTCTCCATGTGTTTTTCTTTTATTGACACAAAATATTTTACATATTTATGAGGTAGATGTGACTGTAACATGCATAGAATGTGTAATAAGTCAGGACATCTGAAGTACCCATCACCTTGAGTAATTATCATTTCTATGTGTTGGTATCATTTCCAGTCCTCCCTTCTAGTTATTTTGAAATATAAGAAATACTGTCTTCTATCTAACTCTATGTTTGTCCCCATTAACAAACTTTTCTTCATCCTCCAATCCCCTGCCAGCCACCCATCCCACAGTGATCTTTTTAGAATACACATTGCTTAAAATCTTTTAATTTGCTCCCCACTGACTACAAGGTAAAATCCAACTGCTTTTGCAAAGAATATAAAGCCCATTATGATATGGCCCATCTGGCAAGCTCCTCTCACCCTCCATCCCTAATCAAACGTATACTCTTCATTTTCTTAAACTCAAGTTATTTTACTGTAATTTGAGATCCACAATCTTAAGGAATGTCATGGTTTTTAAAGATTCTAAATTTTACATTTTATAAACTTCCCTCTCCCCTCCATGGAGAGTTAGGGGCTACAGAGTTCCAGATGCATAATTAAAAATTTTTTTCCTGCAAGAATGTCAGCAATCAAGTTGGTTTTGTTTTCTTTTCTAACTCTAAGTGCATTGAGAAGCCCTACATTTACTTTACTCAAAGAGATGCCAGAAAATCATTTTAGAATCACTGAAAGTGGCCCATCTAATCAAAGCTTTGTTTACATGCCGACACTTTCAGAAGGGTGTAGGGGTAAATGGTTGGCTCTACTGTCAAAGCAGGGGAGAAATCAGACCCTTTGCATTTTGAAATTCAAAAAGAAGAGTTACCCAACCCCTAGATATAAGCCCCTGGGGAGGGAAGGGGGACAAAGGTTTGGGCTCACTGACCCCTGGGAAGTGGCTCTGTGTATGGATTGGAAGGGCTGAGCACCAGAAGCAGTCCTCTGATGGAGCCTAGCAATACAGAAGTGGAGCTGTCTTGCTGCAAGGAACCCCAAGAGCTTGTCTACTTAAGTTTATATTAACAACAGAACAGTAGCTACTGTTGGACTATAAAAGCATTGGTTTTTAACTCCACACAGCAAAGAGAAACAGTGGTAATGAACTGGTCAGACTTTACTCCAGTTCTGAACACACTTGGTAGAAGATGGTTTGATTAAGCTGTTGGTGGAAAGAATTATCAGATAATTTGGTGGGTGACAGGAGTTTCAGTAGGAACTTAGTATATTTTGGGCTAACAAGGTCGAGCTGTGGAGGCAATTCCACTTACAAAGGGTATTGCTATAATACCTAATCATTTAAGTACACTTCACATTTAAACATCTAATTTTTGTTAAAAGCAGTGGCCTTTTTTCCTCCTTTAGCATCAACATTATTGATAGCTCAGAGGCACTAACATATTCTTATGACTCTTATTGTCCATTGTTATAATAAAGAAAGCACAAAGCCATTAAAACAAAGCAGCAGTGTGGCCTGCAACATAATAGTTTTTTCTTCCACGCTTGGAGAGAATGTGATCTCCTAACTGCATTTTAGTGAACTGCATGAAGTAAATCATGTTCAGGGAATAACCAACTATTACTATGATAAAAACTCGTGCTGGAAAAAAGATCTTTATTTCCAATTCTCTGAACATGCTTATTCTACACATCTATCCCTTATACATACTTTTTTTTTTTTTTTTGAGATGGACTCTTGTACTGTTGCCCAGGCTGGAGTGCAATGGCACGATCTCAGCTCACTGCAACCTCTGCCTCCTGGCTCAAGTGATTCTCGTGCCTCAACCTCCCAAGTAGTTGAGACTAAAGGTGCCCGCCACCACACCTGGCTAATTTTTTTTTTTTTTTTTTTTTAATTTTTAGTAGAGACGGGGTTTCACCATGTTGACCAGGCTGGTCTCAAACTCCTGACCTGAAGTGATCTGCCTGTGTTGGCCTCTCAAAGTAGTGGGATTACAGGCATAAGCCACTGCATCCAGCTTATACATACTGTTCTTAACATCAACAACAGTGTATCTACCTTCAATCTATCGGGTGAGATTTTTTCACCTCTACTGACTTTCAAACTCTTCACTTCAGTTACAGCTCTTATTATATACTGATGTTCTTTCTTTATAATCTAGTGTGCTTAGGTCTCTTTCTAAAATGTATTAACTTCATAATAAAGTATTAAAATATCACAAAATCTAAGATCTATTAATAGAATCAACATGTATGCATGTGAAAACAGTTGCTTTTAAAAACTGAATTTTTATTTTTAATTTTTTTTAGAAATAGAGATTCACTCTATTATCCGGACTGGAATGCAGTGGTGCGATCATAGCTCACTGTAGCCTTCAACTTCTGGGCTCAAGAGATCCTCCTACCTCAGCTTCCCAAGTAGCTAGGACTACAGGCATGTGCCACTATGCCTGGCTAAGTTTTTAATTTTTTAGAGAGACAGGATCTCACTGTGTTGCCCAGGCTTGTCTTGAACTCTGAGCCTCAAGTGATCCTCTTGCCTCGGCCTCCCAAAGTGCTGGGATTACAGGCATAAACCACTGCACCTAGTCAAAGACTAAATTTTTAAATAATACAATTTGAATTCAGTTTACTGAGTATGTCCCATGAAAAATACTGGTCTGAAAAATTTATAAATTAACCATTTCATAAAAAATATAACCATTCCTGCTTCTTGCTCTAATTAGACACAACAGAGGCAATATCAGTGCTTAACAAACACTATTTAAATCTTTATATGAAATTAATTCCTTGAATTGATTTCAGCATATTTTTTCTCATTAATTAGATTTTCTCATCCTGAGTCTCATAATTCAAAGACTTTGGAAAACTGGGCATAAAGAAGAAAACTATTTCATGAAACTACAAATTTGGTTAAACATGCTTATGCCATTTTTTTTTTTTTTTTTTGCATAAAATCCAAAGTAAAAATGCTATGATACAAAGTAATACATAAACTTAACATAGCACCTAATCATATTTTTCCTTTTTGAAATATCATTTTTGTATATTTAATGATGGGGTTCTACTTTAGTATTATAGTTGGCCAATAATTGTTCACTTTAATCCTTGCCCCAAATTTCATAAACATAAGTGGCCATTACTGGTCACCATCTTTCAGTGTGGAAGACACAAATCAGTAGAGGGAGAAAATTCCTAGCCTTTTCTTAACAACAACTGGGACTTTCTCTGCAGCCTTGGCTTGGTTTCCTCTCTGGTAGAACAAACCTCAGGTGTCTTCAGTCTTTTGTCTCCTATCATGTTTTCAAACATTCTTTCATCTTTCCAAATCAAAACCCCCTTTGGGATCTCCCTATCTCTGGCCATCAGAAGTAACCATGTATATACCATGTATACCATTTTCTAGCTTTTCTATTTCTTTCCTCCTCTTAGTATCAGGATCATTATCATGTGGAAGGTCATTTTTTCCCAGTCCTACCCATAATCTGTTCTCACTAGCCAGTCCATTCTCCTTCCCCCGTTCCCTAGCAAAAACTTATCTGTGGGTATGGAATGATTCATCCAATTTTAATATGGTAAGAGATAACTAAAAATAGCCATCAATTTTAAAATACTTGCTTTAAAGAGTTTTTCTGTGTTCTGATACCAGATGTGAGATGGATTTGCTGTGTGGCAGGGCATTTTTGTTTCTCTTGGCCTTGGTATCTCCCTCTGTAAAATCGGGGTAATTTGTGAATTAAAGGCAAGTAGGGAGATGTATTACTCTAATTAGATCACAGGCAAAACAGAAGATTATAATGAACTTGAAGAATTGTGGGAAGAAACCCCAAAGTGGGTTTTGATTTGGAAAGAGGGAAGAATATTTGAAAACATGATAGGATACAAAAGACTGAAGACACCTGAGATTTGTTCTACCAGAAAGGACTACATAAACCTAAAAGATTATACCCATAGTTTGAGACTGCTTGAGTGAATGATCAGCAGTCACCTAGTAAGTGATCTGTTCTTACAGTTGGAACCTTTAAAGACGAACAGGTCTTTCAGGGTAATAGATCAGACTTGGGGATAAAATACTGGGAAAGTGATGTACAAAGCCATTTGATGCCACAGGATAGTAGCACTTTGAGAGGGTCAGTGTGTCGCTTAGTGCCCACAAGGAGATTAGTATTCACCTCGAGTTCCCAGGACCCAGGATCTAGACAGCTGTGGAGATGCTAACTCACCTCGGAGGCTGGGGTGGGAGATTTGGAGGAAAATAAAAGAAAAATACTTGTTTTATATTTCAAACATTGCTGGGCATTTTCTACTCAAGAATTGAATAATATGCTAGACTAATTACTTCTTATGGTGCATTAAACCTTTCAGGCAACTAGCAGGCACACAAGGTTTACTACTTAAGGCTATTTAATATATCTTATAACTCTCCTCTGTATGCCCCCTCCCACCTGAATTACCCATCTTAAGCCTTCATATCGTCTCACCTGGCCATTCTGAAGTTGTCTCAGAACTAACATTCTTACCTAGTTTCTCAATAGTCTCCATTTCATCATCCATACTTCTGCCTGAGTGATCTTTGTAAGTAAGCATCTTCATTCACCACTCTCCTACTTAAAACTCCTTTTCAGTGTCTCAGGATAAGGTCAGATTTCCTAGCATTGTGCATAACCACCTCTTTGTGCCCAATGCTTGATTTGGATTCCTGTCTGCACAGTCTCATCTCTTAGTGCACCACTAAACTGACTGTAAGAATTATTTGCAGTCCTTGAATATGCCAGGCTACTTCACAATGCCACTTCACCCTATGCCTGGAATGTCTTTCCTATTCTGGTTTATGTGAAGAGCATCTATCAGCTTTCAACATGCAGCTTAAGCATCAATTCTTTAGAAAGTGTTTCCTAACCCTCTCCCATAGATAATTGGCCTCCTCCTTCTTTGTCCTTCCCCTCCCCTAAAAGTTATCACATACATGAACAACGTTCTCTCACATTCAAAACACATTTTTCCTTAGTTTTGTATACAGTTGCCTCTCTAATATATAAACTTCAAGAGCATAGAGGGCATCTTATTTTTGGATTCTAACATAAAACAGCACTCAATAAACGTTAATTAAATAGCGAAGATAACATTTAAAATCAACAATTTATTCCTAAGTTTCTTAGCATCTTTTCTGAGTTTCAGACGAACACTTATAAAATTCCACAGGATATCTCCACACATATGTTCTGTAAGTACTTCAAGTTCAGAATGTCCACACCAAAACTCATTATTTTCCCTGGAAAGTTACTTGTTTATCTGAGTTTCCTGTTTCACTAATGGCCTAATTTACCCTCTGACCCAAACTAAAAATTCACCTTCCTACCTTTAGTCTATCTTTTCAATTCACCCTTCATACTCACCAGTTATCTTGACAAAAATAACTTTTCTGATACTGCCACTTCTCTACTCTACACACTTTATGGCTTATTCTATTAGGAGGATAAATTCAAACAATTTGGCAATAACACTCACAATCTGGCAACACCTACCTTTCTAGTCTCATCTCTTTGCGAGTTTCTCCTATGGACCTTAACCTTAAGTTCTTAAAGAAATGTATAAAAAAATGTAGGTAGGTGGCCAATAGCAAGCCATTCATAACAGAAATATAAATATTTCTAGCTGCCAGAAGCAAGAAAATAAAGCAAATTCCAATTGTTTTGTCACATCTAAAGGTGTTGCAGGGTAATGGTATGAATCTATTTGTGGAAGACAAACGCATATACACACCCATACATATCAGGAGAATAGGGGAAATGTGTGGGTATGAAGAGCAATGGCTAGTAAAATGAATCTGTGGGACAAACACAATCTATAAAGGCATTTTTTTTTTTTTTTAAATGGAGTCTTGCTCTGGCACCCAGGCTGGAGTGCCGTGGGGCGATTTGGGTCAATGAAACCTCCACCTCCTGGGTTCAAGCGATTCTCCTGCCTCAGCCTCCTGAGTAGCTGGTATTACAGGCGCACACCACCATGCTGGACTAATTTTTGTGTTTTCAGTAGAGATGCAGTTTCACCATGTTGGCCAGGATGGTCTTGAACTCCTGACCTCAAGTGATCCACCTGCCTCGGCCTCCCAAAATGCTAGGATTACAGATGTGAGCCATTGCACCTGGCTTAAAAAAATCTGTTGACTAAACGATGCATGAACAAGACAAGAACGTTTAATCAGGCTTCACTATAAAATATCCAAAGATCATCCACTTCTCTTTGCTCCTGATAATGGACATGAAGCCTTCTCAACAAGTGAAAGGGATCTCCCTCATTATCAACTAATAAGTGGCATTTTGGTTTATACTGTAGTCTCTTCTCCATGGGTCAGAATAACCCTGAGTCAGTGGACAAAATGAACCTTGTAGATCTAAAATGCTGAGGATCAGCCCTCAGGCAGTGGTAAATTCCCTGATATAATACAAGCCTGTAAAGTATGATGGCTGTCGGGCAGTCTCTCTCAATGCCACTTCAGTTGCTGACAGTAATTACCTACTACTAGGCAGAGATGCTAAAATCCAATTCACAGCTCACTGCCTTCAAGAAGATTCTTTGACACCCTTTCTTCCCCCAACCTCAGTTTATCATTATTGTTTCTGGACTCTCATCTTTACTCAACTATATCAGTTATCATATGATACCGTAATGTCTGACTGCTTCCCTCTAGCCTCTGCATGCCCTGAAGTCTGGTATCATCTTTATTATGTGCTTTGCTCATATAAGTGTAGATTTTCTTTTTCTTGTTTTGAGACGGAGTCAGTCTCACTCTGTCACCAGGCTGGAGTGCAGTGGCGCAATCTTGGCTCACTGCAACCTCCACCTCCCAGGTTCAAGCAATTCTCCTGCCTCAGCCTCCCAAGTAGCTGGGACTACAGGCGCACGCCACCACGCCCAGCTAATTTTTTTTATTTTTAGTAGAGATGGGGTTTCACCATGTTGGCCAGGATGGTCTCCATCTCTTGACCTTGTAATCCGCCTGCCTTGGCCTCCCAAAGTGCTGGGATTACAGGCGTGAGCCCCTGCACCTGGCCCCTATAAGTGTGTAGATTTATTGGGTGAATTCTTGATCCTGACTTGCGACATCTCAAGCTAACATCATTATCTCAGTCTTTTTTTTTTTTTAAAGACCAGAACTAATTAATTTTCACTTACATTTTTTGAGAGAAAACAGTTGTCATAAAACACTTTAGAAGATGGGAAATTATTGCAAAGCAGATAGATTTATCTGTTAAATGTGGGAACTGCTATTAGGAAGGCTTTAAAAAGGAGTCCCCTCAGAGATTCAAACCCATTCTGTTCACAAGGCACATGCCCTGTGTCATTCAACCCAATCTAAGCATTAGTTTTCCTCTGTAAAACAGGATTACTAACATCACCCTTGTATCATTCCTGTGATGATTAACAGGGATAATGTATTTATAGAAGTCTCAGTGACAATACTTATCTATATGGTATTTAACATCAGTAAATCTATAGAACCACACAACAACAAGAAATTAACTTGCTGTATCCTTCATTGGAAGCTTTCAGGGATATGAGAAGCTCACTCTCACTACAGATCATATACTACTTCCCACAAAGTACAGAACAACTGGTTGGCTCACCCTAGGATAAAAGCAAAGGGCTATGCGAGGAGGATTAAATGTGACCCCCATTTACCCTGTTTATCTTCAGCTGGAAAGTAAGTCTGTTAGAAACATGGAACTTGCCAAAACTCTATTATTTCCAAAAGGAAGTTAGTCAAAGGGACCGTGATGTTAAATAGGAGAGCGCTAGCATTAACAAATGTGAAAACCTCTTAAATAAAGACTAAAAAAGATATGACCACATTATCTTTTGAATGCTATAAGGAAATATGTAGCAAAGCAATCTAAAATTCCTTACGTTCTTCTGGTTTCATTTCGGTTATTTTTTGCAGCCAATTCTTCCATGTTTGGCAGTCACAAGGCTCATGTGCTTCACCAAGGCACTCCCTAAAGAAAATAAACATAGAAAAGACAATTTTAAAATATTCTTCATCAACATCAAGGCAAAAAAAAGAAAGTGTGTAGAGGCTGGGCGTGGTGGCTCATGCCTGTAATCCCAGTACTTTGGGAGGCCAAGGTGGGTGGATCACCTGAGATCAGGAGTCCGAGACCAGCCTGGCCAATATGGTGAAACCCCATTTCTATTAAAAATACAAAAAATTAGTAGGCATGGTGGCACATGCCTGTAATCCCAACTACTGAAGAGGCTGACGCAGGAGAATCGCTTGAACCTGGGAGGTGGAGGTTGCAGTGAGCTGAGATCGCACCCTTGCACTCCAGCCTGGGCAACAAGAGCGAAACTTTGTCTCAAAAAAAAAAAAAAAGTAGAAAGTATTCTTCCAATTTTAAAGTTGAAAAAACTAAGACATGGTGATTAATGAGAGATGGAGCATTTCAATGGAGGCATTGAAAATGAGATTCCAAAGCTTGATACCATTAGACCAGTTTTTTAAAAAAAATCAGTACATTCATTTACGTATTTCAAAAGTTCTAAATAGATTAATATTTATAACTTAGATTTGCAAGCCTTCAGAGCTTTAAAACATTTGATTAAATTACGTTTTATCCTCATTAATATTTTAAATTCTTGTTTTTCAAAGGTGTATTCCTGGCCATTACTGAGCAGCTTTTTAGACATGCAGAAGAACAGGCCCCATGAGATTTACAGATTAGAATCTATATTTTATCAAAATTACCAAATGAACCTTCGTCATTTTAAAGTTTGAAAAACACTGTTTTAAGTCAAATTATTGTAGTTACTTTTACCTCTGCATCTCCAGGTAACAGCTAGGGTAACTCAATTTACTTTTATTGGAATTTGGGAAATTTTGATTTAAATAATTAAAAACATCAATTTATCATTTGTAACTCTATTTTATATTCTTTCCATAGCTATTTAAGAACTCAAACACTAAAACGAGCCTAAAGCCTTGATAAACTGCCATTTTAATTCAAGATGATGCTATATTGTATAGAACAAAGGTAATTATTCCAGTCAATGATAAAATATTATTCGGAGGAGGGAACAACCCAATCTGGAAGTGATATCATCACCATCAGTGCTATTTTAAAAAGATTTCATTTACAAAGGTTAAGCTTAGGCAGGGAGGGGTGGCTCACGCCTGTAGTCCCAGCTACTTGGGAGGCTGAGGTAGGAGGATCACTTGAGTCTGGGAGGCAGAGGCTGCAGTGAGCTGAGATCATGCCACTGCAGTCCAGCCTAGGCGACAGAGCAAGACCCCATTTCGAGGAAAAAGAATAAAAAAAGGTTAAGTGTATTAAGAAGATACACCAACTGACTCATGTAGTCTTACAAACTAAGAGGTAATTAAGAATGTATTGATTATACTTCATATTTGTTAAAATGGTGATTATTAAAAAAAAAAAGAAGGTTTTGGTGTGGATGTACAAAGACCAGAACTCTTGTGCATTGCTGATAGAAATGTAAATGCTGATGCAAAGTTAAACTTAGAATTACCATAGGATTCAGCAATTTCATTCTAAGGTATGAAAGAACTGAAAGCAAGGATTCAAACTTGTACACCAACATTCATGGTATTATTCACAACAGCTAAAAGGGGGAAACAACCCAAGCGTCTATCAGCAGATGAATGGATAAACAAATTGGGGAGTATACACACACACGAACAGAAACACATGTTCACACAATACGATATTCAGCCATAAAAAGGAATAATATCTGCATACATGCTACACTATGAATGAGCTTTAAAAACATTTTGTTAAGTGAAATAAGCCAGACACAAAAGTACAGATATTCTAGAATTCCACTTATATTAAATATCTAGAATAGGCAAATTCATAGAGAAAGAAAGTAGAGTGGTTGTTACCAGCCTGGGGGAGGAGAGGATGGCGAGTAACTGCTTAATGGTCATAGAGTTTCTGTTTGGGATCATAAAAAATTTCTGAAAAAGAAAAGTGGCTATGAGACGTTATAGTTGCACTCCGAATGCAATTAATGTCACTGAATTGCATACTTAAAAATGGTTAAATGGTTAAAAAAAAAAAAATTCACCAATTGCCTTGAAAGGGTAATTTAGTTTCCTTACACTCCTGACTTGTCACCTAATCTGACACTTGGGAGCTCCTAGCAACTTAGTGGTAGCTTAACAGACATTCAAAAAATACTGGGTTGATTAAAATATGGAAGTGAGCTGGGCACAATGGCTACTCGGCAGGCTGAGGCAGAAGAATCAATGGAGCCCAGGAGTTTCAGGCTGTAGTGTGCTATTACCACTCTGTGAATAGCCACAGCACTCTAGCCTGGGCAACACAACATGACCTAATTTCTTTAAAAAAGTGGATATATAAAGTCAGGAAACAACAGATGCTGTAGAGGATGTGGAAAAATTGGAATGCTTTTACACTGCTGGTGGGAGTGTAAATTAGTTCAACCATTGTGGAAGACAGTGTGGCGATTTCTCAAGGAGCTAGAACTACAAATACCATTTGATCCAGCCATCCCATTACTGGGTATATACCCAAAGGATTATAAATCATGCTACTATAAAGACACATGCACACATGTGTTTATTGTGGCACTATTCACAATAGCAAAGACTTGGAACCAACCCAAATGTCCACCAATGATACACTGGATTAAGAAAATGTGGCACATATAGAACATGGAATACTATGCAGCCATTAAAAAGGATGAGTTCATGGCCTTTGCAGGGATGTGGATGAAGCTGGAAACCATCATTCTGAGCACACTATCACAAGAACAGAAAACCAAACACTGCATGTTCTCACTCATAAGTGGGAGTTTAACAAGGAGAACACATGGACACAGGGTGGGGAACAACACACACTGGGGCCTGTCGGGGGATGGGGGGCTATGGGAGGGATAGCATTAGGAGAAACACCTAATGTAGGTGATGGGTTGATAGGTGCAGCAAATCACCATGGCATGTGTATGCCTATGTAACAAAACTGTACATTCTGCACATGTATCCCAGAACTTAAAGGTATGAAAAAAAAAGTGGATACATTAGATTCACTTTAGTGCATACTAACATCAACTCTGCTTTCCAGAAATGTAACGGATACCTGTGATAACTGCTAATTTTAATTTGGCACACATGCTAGCAGACATTGAATTAGGAAATATGCCACAGATCAAGAACAGTTTTTCCATATGGTGCCTACAAACACAGGTGGGAATGCAGAATCAACATTTCTCATGACTCATTTAAGAAAGCTTGTTTGTCATTTGCATTTCAATAAAGCTAGAAAAATTAAAAAAAAAGAGCCCTGAAGTACAAAAAGCCCTTATATATCTGCAGTAACTAAAACAAACAAATGCAATCAATGAAATAAATTATTTCTATTAAGATTTTTTTCCCTGGAGACTTTTTCCCCCTGGAGATTAAACAGCATATTCAATATCCATTTCCTGGCAGAATCAACGCTAGTAAATACTGGTTTTGCTGTCAGAACATTTTCTGAAAACGTTCTGGAAAAAAAAAAAAAAGAAAGAAATCATGGGGGAACAAAGCCCAGTGTTTTCAAATAAACTCTGAAAAAAAAAAAGCCACTTCTTCAAAAGGCCATAATTGCTTATCAATGTGCTTGGCTCTCCACGACTGTGTTGTCCTAGACAGCAAAAGAAGGTTTTCTTTTCTAGAACCTCACAGGAGGACAAAGATTTGCTGCTTCCTTGGTTGTGAGCCCAATCAGTAGGACCACTTCAGGGTGTTATAACTGGTTGGCACAGTTTCTGCTAGTTTCCAGTGCAATACTAAAAAAGGATTTTAAAAAAAAACAAAACAAAACAGAAAACAGCAGCTTACTAATAAAAAAAGAAGCTACAGCATGGACTGTGAATTAAAGAGGCTGAGGTTGCCTTTTTTTTTTTTTTTTTTTTTTTTTGGAGTCTTGCTCTGTGGCCCAGGCTGGAGTGCAATAGCATGATCACCACTCACCACAACCTCTGCCTCCTGGGTTCAAGTGATTCTCCTGCCTCCTAAGTAGCTGCGATTACAGGTGCACACCACCATGCCCAGCTAATTTTTTGTATTTTCAGTAGAGACGGGTTTCACCATGTTGGCCAGGCTGAACTTGAATTCCTGACCTCGTGATATGCCTGCCTCGGCCTCCCAAAGTGCTGGGATTACAGGCGTGAGCCACTGCGCCTGGCCGAGGTTGCCACTTAATACTATAAAATATATTTAAAAACTAACGCATCTGGAAAAATAAACTCAGAATTCTCCAAAGTATAGTAATAACAAAGTCACTAAACATAGTAGGTAATTGACATTCTAGATGATCAACATAGGGAAGAAAGGTTATTCTGAGAAAAGTAGTGAAGATGCTAGAATGCCAACTTCCTGAAGAAAGTTTATTTTTTTCTTTTTCTTTTTGAGAGTCTTGCTCTGGCACCCAGGCTGGAGTGCAGCCGCATGATCTTGGCTCGCTGCAGCTTCCACCTCCTGAGCTCAAGCCATCCTACTGCCAGCCTCCCAAGTAGCCAGGACAAGAGGTATGCACCACCACGCCCAGCTAATTTTTGTATTTTTTGTAGAGACAGGGTTTCACTACGTTGCCCAAGTGGTCTCAAACTCCTGGGCTCAAGGGATCCGCCAATCTCAGCCCCACAAAATGCTGGGATTACAGCTGTAAGTCCCTGAGACCGGCCTACATTCCTGAAGAAAATTTTAACCAATGACTGTTGACAAGTATTCTAAAGCCCCTGGTATCTGTTGCTGAAACTGCATCTCGAAATGTCAGTAAAACAAGAGTATGGGGAGGGGAATCTCAGGACATAGCCTGCTGAATCTCAGCCAGAGACACCAATAGGGTAGGTTTATTCAGGTAAAAAAAAATCCTGGTAAAAGATTATAAAGAAAAAAATAGTTGCCTAATCTAAACTCCTCCACCTAGTTCAAATATGATTGGTTAACCTAACATCAAGTGATCAAGGAATG